CCGGGCCACCACCATCTCTCCCTGGACTGCCGAGGCCCCCTCCTTCCTAACTGGTTTTTTGGTTTCCACCCTTGCCTCACGATCATCTGATCGGCATTCATTAGATCAAATCAGGCCTGTTCACGATTGTCAGATAGCTTCCTGTCACAGTGTGAGGTCAGCCCAGAGTCCTTGCCGTGGCCTGTGGCGCCCTGTACTCTGGCTCCCGAGCAGGCTTTTGAGCTTTTCCTTCAAGTGTTCTTGGAACATGCCAGGTGCACTCCTGCCTCAGGGCCTTTGCTCTGGCTGTTCCGTCTACCTGGAGCGTTCGTTCCCCCGGGCGTGGGGTGCGCCTCCCGAGAGCCCGGGTCAGAAGCTGCGTCCGTCATTTGCTGGTTACGTACCTTGGAAAGTTGCTCGCCCCTCCTCCTCGTAAGTGGGTTTTCTCATCGGAGAAGTGGAGCCAGCATCTGGGCCGTTGTGCGGTCCTGACGGGAAGCCCGGCGATGCCAAGGGCCGGGGAACCAAAGCTCTTGTGTGTGTTTGTGCCCTGACTCCTCTAGGTCCGGTTTGCATGGCACTCGGGGGCCACTCCCCCCTTTCCCGTCACTCTCCCCCCACTGTCCCCTCAGCCCAGCCTTTTCGTTTCCCTTCTTCTAACGTGGCACTTACTTGCTGCTTTTCCGTGATCTTTTCCCTCGTCGGGAGGTAAGCTCCTGTCAGCCACTATTTCACCAGAGCCCAGGAGGCCTCCTGGCACACAGCTGAGGCCCACCGATTTTTGTGGACTGAGCAATGAAAGGCACATATTGGGTACGGACTCAGCCTCTTATTGGAGAGGGGTGTGCTTCTCGGAGAGCTCAGAGGGCACAAGCAGATAGCCCTGGTGGCCCTCCCGAGCCCCTCCCACTCGGGGTAGAGGCCACAGTGAGCCAGCTGCTTGTCGGGCTGGGGGCCTCTGTCTCTGCAAGTCAGGAGCTGGAAGGGGCAGGAGGCCACCGATCCCGAAGGCCTGGAGAGCTGGTGGAAGATGTGGGCTCCTGTCCCTCTTCTGACACCGCTGTGGTCCAAGCAGAGCAGAGATTGTGGGACCCCTTTACGGTTGCCCATTGACCGTCTGCTGGGTGTTGACTGTTAGGTTTCTTTTGCGTAGCCGGAGAGGAAGGGGGGTAGGGCACGGTGCCGGTAAGCAGGCGTGGGTTTGGGCATGGTGTTGAGCGTTTGGCCAAAGTTGCTAGGCCCCAGCATGGGGCATGTGGGAGAGAAAGGTGGGAAAGGTAACTTGGGGACCAGACTCTGCAGGGCCTTGAATGCCAGTCTGGGCACTTGAGAATTCCTCCTGTAGGTATCCCGGGAAGCCTCAACATTTTAAGAAGTGTTCTCCACGCATATTTACGCTTTTCCCAAGTATTCCAAGTATCATGAAGTAAGCGGCGGAGGAGAAAATTAATTTCTGTTCACTTTAAAAAAGTAGTCTCGGTCTCAGTTCCAAGTGGAATTATACATTTAGGGGTGTGGGCTCTCTCCCCTTCATGTCCCTTGGGCTACATTTAATTCCTGGCCCAGTCCTGACTTTGAAAAGAACAACAAATGAAGAGCTTCTTCAGAAGGCCGGGTGCTGGTTAGCGGAGAGGGGCCTGCTGTGGCTGCCCTTCTCGACCGAACTAGCAGGCCCGGTGGAGGTCCTCAGCACCCAGAAGCTGGCTCACGGGGATGCCTTGGAATCTGAGGTTCTGACCCCTCGTGGTTTGCAGGTTAGGTTAGACCCCAGGAAAGATGGAGTGGCCGGCTTTACTTCAGGGTTCGTTTCTGTAGAGTGTCCCTTTTAGGCCTGCCCGGATTGAAACAAAGCAGCCTTGTTTTGGATACAGTATCAATATTCAGTGAGGATTAGTACTTTGTTGTTGTTGATACACCCCTGCCAGAAATAAGGCAGCTGGCTGGATATGGAAAAACACCAGACTGGAGTCTGCGACTTGGGTTCTCTGGCTGTGGAAGCTTGAGGAAACGTCTTTCTCTCTGTGGATCTCATTTTCCTCATTTTGGAAGGAGAGGGATGTGAACCTTAACCTTTGGAACTCTTTGAGACTTCGATGACAGCCGTGGACTTTCCTTCTGCCAAAATGAACACTCACGGTTTGGCCAACACTTCAGGACCCCCCCCCCTGAAGCCCACGAGACCAAGCGCTGTACCTGTAAGGCCCTTCCCAGCTGACTTCCCCTTTACGTCCCCCCATTTATGTGCCTCCACCTTCAACAGGGCCTTTGCACATGCTGCCCCTGCACAAAGTGCTGTTCACCCCTTTGTTTGGTCGATTCCTGCTCACCCTCTGAGTGTCACCCTTCCCTGACCTCTGAGATTAGATTAGGTTGCCCTACTAGACATGCTTCCCTTACCCTGAACCTCTCAGCACATGTTATCTGACTCTCCCTAAGCTCTGTGTTGGTATTTATTAGGTGAACCCCTGAGGTGGCTCCGACCGCACATTCTGTGATTGACGTGTGACTGTGCGAGCATGTCAGAAGAAAATACCAATCTGTGCTCTGTGCTTCCTGTGGCACTCTGCACAAGATGTGTTGTTTTTTTTTGTTTTTTGTTTTTTTTTTTTGTTTGTTTTGTTTTTTTCTTTGGCTGATTTCCTCTGGGGCTGGGCAGGGAA